TGTCATCAAGTCAAAAACGAAGACAGAAGGGAGGTGTGCATTAGAACAAATGGCAAATAGCAAAAAGAGTCTGGCGAGAGCACTTTCGCACCACAAACTGTAGGACAGAAAGTCTTGGCTTGATTTTGGGAATGGCAAAACACGGACCTTTTGCTCTATCAGCAGCAATCAAACCCTAATGTTGCATGTAGGCGTCTTCAGGAAGAAGTATGGTAAAGTCGTGACTATAGCTTGAATGATTGGTTGATTCGCATTTGAAAGCACAGTACATGTGGTTTGCTTTGACGGCGTAAGTTAAGGAACGTTTCCAAGTTTACTTGTGCCTCCGGAAGCCTATTACTTTCAGTAGTAATAGCCAGTCTTTCCTCATGACTGCAAAAAGCGATCCAGTCCCGGAAAATGGGTTTGCCAGTTAGTCAGGACAATAAACCTCCTGTTCCAGTGATCGTTTCTTCTTCTTCCGAACTGCTTCCTGGAACTCAGATATTCTCCTCTATTGGCAACCTAGTTTATGTCTACCTAGGGCGTCTGTATATTGAAGATACCAAACAGCTTCCCTAGGATGTCAGTTGCGAAATAAGCGGACAGATAGATCAACTATCGCCGGCTCGCAAAGATACTGCTGACACGGTGCGCAAGACAACAGTTTAGCAGGCCATGTGCCCCTTAAAGTACCACAAAGTTTCGAGAACGCCTTGTAACATAGTGACTCTGAAACACCGGAAAGCGCTGCTTTGCAGGATAAGTGGTGTGACGATACTGAGACATCCTATAATCACAAGATGACTGAACAGACATCGCTCCTAATTACTGGAGCTAAACCATCTTTATTTCTGTCGGATGAAGACAGTGTGCGGTCCACGTGTCATGAGCAATGCGGGGAAAGTTGGTGACATAATCAGTGTCATTGGGTTTCGAACGTGCGTTACTCAAAGACGAGTCCAAACCACTCTAGATTCGTGGCTGGACTTGGGTGTCCCGACCAAGCGTTTGAGCCATGGTGCATTTTAGAATTCCAGTAGGGCTACCAGACACAGACAGTCATGTGTTCTGTTAACTTGCATCCCCATGAGAAGCTCTGCAGACCGTTTGCCATTCGGCCTGGCTTTCCATAAGTTTTAAACCGCCGCGCACCATAATTACTTGGGTCTTCAGGGGAGCTGTCCGCGGTTTAGATAGTGTTTAAATGGCATTGGGACGTAGGTTGACTGACCTTGATTACAATTAAGAAGTTTCCACGCTGAACGTCGTGACGTACTGGATCCTGTATTTTGGGCAAATGAACTCGTCAAATCGGTTAGTCTATGTTGTTATGTCTAAACTATTTTAGAGCTTCGAGTCTGCCGGAGAAAAGGTGCTTTTCGTGATCCCTAAAGGTTAGCTTGGAAACGAAGATGGTCTCAAACTTGAGGACCAAGTTGCTGCTGAGCAAACAAAACAAGGATGACACCAAATTGATGTCTACAGCAACACCCGTCTGGCTAATACTCTGCGGTTCTGAATGCTCGGCTTGATTTGTGTAAGATGAACGAAGGCTCGCGTTTTTTTGACTACCGTCCAAGAAAGCCAACTTAGGTGAATGGACCACATTCTTCGACGAGTCCTCGTTTGTTCGGTTTTATTACCTAATTAGAGACGGTGAGGAGGGTAATTAAGAACCCGTCCACCGTTGCACAAAGGAAGTTCGCCTGCGTTCCATCTGGCTGCTGAAGAACTTAGTGGAAAGAGGTTTCCAGTACGGATATCTGCGACAACGCTAAGGCCGATTAAACCACACGCAATCAAAGTCTGTCAAACGGCGAGTGAGAAGTTTAGTCTTGTATTCGAGTAAATGGTAGTTTAAGAGTAATGACTTAAATCACAAAATGGATCTTAGAGGAGGGGGCATCTCCTAATGCAGCTACCGCACCCGTAAAAATGCTCACCTGAAAAACAACACGGCTTGCACCTTGTTGGAGGGCGTAAATTCCTAGAAGACCGGCTCCACAGCCCAGATCTAGGACACGCTTTCCCTGGACGAAGTGGTGAACTTCTGCATTTCTAGGTTCCAGAAAATTGAGCAAATGCCTCGTGCCTTCCCATACCGTGAAGCCGCCCTCTATGACTCCAGAAACGACATCCTTGTTTTCTCGGAGAGCTGCAAGGACGGCTTCATTGGCGACGCCTTCATCGGGATTCTCAGTTTTCACCAGATTCTCGATGATCGATTCGTCCAGGTATTCGATTACTATAATGTTAGGGCGAAACAGGAGTAAAATATATTTGAACTTGCAGATAAAGTTGGAGATTGTTAGTGACGACGGTTGCGACCGGCTAGGACCGCATATATACACAGACGTACCACAATAGATCCCCTATCTTATGAAATGTGAGTCAAAATTCTGAGATTTGTTTTTGATTCGAAAAATTTACTTTAGTGGAGTTGGAATAATGATTAGTGTGCGGTTCAACCATAAGATATTCCAGTCACGTCAGGCTGTCGGCATTTGAACGAACTTTGTTCTTAACAGATGGAAAAACTAGGCTATTTAAATAACTCAAATAACTTTCGGCCCTGTTCAATGCCCTCAAAAATTAAATATATTTTCTTGAGAACATAAAAAAATATTTGGTACTCTTTTGGTAGCAAATTACGCCTCTTCAAATGTTATACTTGAACGAGAGGTGTATTAGTTTTCAACATATTTATAAATCGCCTAATCATATTGGATCTTACCGGTCGTTACACCTGAATTCAAGCTTTTCAAACTACACGCCGCATAAATTCTCATCAACACATTACACATTTATCTATGTTATGGTGCAGATGTCCTAAAGCTATCAAACAATTTTTGCAATGGACGCTGATCATATATACATTATAGGCAAAATTAATAAATAGACGAATACGATGTACTATGAATGAAAATTCCAAGAAATGGAGGATGTAGGTGCTACCGTAGCCGCTCCTGGGCGTCAGCCACACCTGGTTCAGACCCCAAGGAGTGAGAATGTCATAAAGGCCACATTAAGGAGTCCTTACAGGCCGACTCTCAATCTACCACTTGACCACTCCACACAAACACCGGACTGACCGTGCGATCCCAATTATCCCGTCAATTGGAAAGTTTTCAAGCCACGGATGTTAGCGCACTGCGATAGCTTCAGGCGAAACAGTTTTTTGTGGGGATAAAAGTGCGCTGAGACATCGATCTGAGGCTCTATTCCCATTCCCGGGCCCCATCCACTGTCCGAATGGGCCAGTTAAACAGTAGACAGAGTAACACTGTCGAGAAAGAACTGAGACAAAAGGACCATTTCTTGCTTAGTAGCA